AGACTTGGACTAGTACAATAACTGTATATAACATGAAGTTTCCTGAACAAAATGGCGGAAATTTTAATAAAAAATGTTGATGTTTGATCGTACAATACAAAAAAACTGCGGGTCTGTGCGAGTGATAACAAGTGAATTCGTACTCAGCGTATCAAAAACTATAGATTTATGTAAACTAAAAGTAGGTCCCGAATGGGGGCAGCGGAACTGAACGATAATTGGCCACAGAATACGGCCTAAACCCCCACAAAGAGACATAGCGATGACATCGAGAAATGTAGTTTTACAACACCAAAAAAGCAGCGTCCAGAACCTACAGTACCTCTCGAATCCGATGCTCCTAAAACTTCGACTCCAATCGGGAAATTCCCGCGAAATTCGCAAGCTGTTGAGTTGCCATTTTCCCTTAATTGAACGAAGAATAGTGAAAATGTTAGTACAGAAAACGTTCAGCAAACAACGAAACATGTTGATGTAACCGTGAACGTGAAATGCCCATCAAAAAATGCCTTAGAATCTCTAGGGAAAATGCTTCTAAGAGGTACATACAAACAAATTGTTCATGCTGCTTGGACAAACAATCATATCAAAAGCAGCTTGATAGAACTAATGATAAAAGACGTTGAAAAAGACTCAACTAAACTTTGTTCGAAGAAGAACCCATCCATCCTTAGGACTACGGATAAGCAATGTATGCTGTCATTTTCAATGGAAAAGGTTTCAGATGAGATCAAAGAGAGAGCTCCAATATTCCATTCAGTTCTATCGGCAGCAAGCATCAATAGTAGAAGTAAAGCAACGAAAGAGAAATCTCATTTTGGCCCAACAGCTATGGCAGCTGCTGTATGCTTAAAGAGTCGATCAAGGTACATGACTGCGGTACAGCTCCTGGTAACAGTCTTCCTTTACCACTCTAACTGTATGGTAGGTTGTTTATTGTTGTTTCCGTTATTAATTATTATCATTAACCCTTTTAGTAGCATTGCGCCCTGATGTTCCCTACCTTGTTTAACTCTGTCTAATGCCAGACAATTTTACTCACAAGGGGAGTGTGCTGGCACTGATGGGTTAATATTATTTTATCATATATAAATGTGTGTGTACTTTAAGAAACAGATAAATTAATGGGTCATTCCAGAAAACATCCATACCACCCTCACAGAGGAAATTGGAAGTGAACCCCCTACCACCTTTGGATGTCCTAATACATTTACTATTATCACAAACAATTTTTTATCCCCTCTCCCTCCGGGTGGCAGAAATTTTCTCCGTGGGGAGTGGGGATCTTTTCTGGAACGTACCAATATTAGCATGTAATAATAATAACATACATGTACAGTCCATGTGGCTTAATTTATTAAATTAAAGGTGAAAGTCGACCATAAAATTATCAGATTTATATAATTGTTGTTTAGCCTGTTTGTGTCATGATTTTCAATGACAGCATGATTGAAGCACAATTTGTCCTTTTCATATTTTCCAGAATACCCTGGCAAGACTAGGTCCTCTAAAGCTAACAACAAGCCATACATATGTCTACAAGAAGCTTGATGAATTTGGTATAGATTACTATGATCATATCTTGGAATCAGTAAAGCGACAAGGGGAGTTTTTGAAACAACAACAAGAACAAAAAACCAGTGTAAATCCTGAGTTAGCTAAATCCCACCAGAATAGGAATTTGATTGTTCCAGATGTTGGCAGGAAACTTGTGTTTGACAACATGGATTATCGTCACGAGGTTCACTACATGACAGAAGAGCATCAAAGTGTGGATAATCATTGTGCTACTGTTATGGCAGTAGAAAATCATGTTTCAGGAAGCCACTTTAGTGGGGTTCTAAACTGGAAAATGACAAATGCATTCCATCTAATTGTGACAATGATAAACAACGAGAGAACTACATTGTTCTGGGTGGGCGTGTTATAGCTACCAACATAAAGTGTCTAAATTTCCTATCAGATGTAACCATGCCTCATTTTCCTCACCCTTATAGGAAATAAATGCAAGCCAAATCAGACATTGTAAGTATCAATTGTATTCAATAAAATAACAAATAAGCCAGCCCAGTTAGGCACTAGTGTGTCCCAAAGCTTCCAATTTTATTATAATTTTATTAAATAATTACTGTCTAATGCCAGATGATTTTACTCATCAATTAGAGAAGAATCTTAAGCCGGTTACATATGAGCAATTTCTTATGACAAGTTTTTTTATGGCAAGTTTTTATGACAAGTTTCATTTGTTTGTCTTCACAGGCAACATTGACAATAGAAAAAATTGCCATGGGTTATCTATATGAATCAACAAAGAAAATTTGGCTAATTAATTTTAGAGCTTTCATGTGGTTGCATGTCGGCAATCCGTTGTTATAATAAGCTAATAATAGCTTTTGTAACTATATCATTCTAGAAAATTTGTTGTACATCAACAAGTGAAATTATCAAATAAAACTTGCTACATGATTGAACACCTTTCATAGGAAAACTTGCTCATGTATGTAACCAACTAAAATTCACCTTACTTTATTGTCTCCTCTTTCTAATGCATCTATAATGTGCCCCAGTGTGCTTTATTTATTATATGTATGTTGCCATACAATTTCACTTGTCAAGGAAGATTCTTACAAGTACATGATTATGATATTTTTTGTGTTGGTGCAATGTACTCAGGTGAATAAGATGCTTGTGATGTTACTCTGAGTGTATATCCACACCGGGCAAGCTTGAAAAATATGCCTGATCACGG